GAGGCAATTTTTTTCTGAAATTTCTGTTTGCGACCCGATTTGGTCGTGAACTGAGGCGTTCGTGAGCCGAGGTACCACTGCAGTTTGCTTCATGGGAACAGGAATGCTCCAAACCAACAATGAATCTAAAATCTCATTGAAGTCCCTGCCCACAATCAAATAATCGTTAGCGATAGCAAGCTATTCGCTAAAATATTCATGAAGTGCAAACAAAGAGTCACCACTCTTTATTATAGTAATAACTTTATGATGATGTTTCCCAGTCAGAGTGAGCAGGCACTTGTGGCACTGGAGAAAGGATCGTTTGCGCAGTGAAACAGCAGCCCCCACGAATAGCTGTGCCACAGGCCTCCTGAGCCCCAGCCCGTCTCCTCATGTATTTGCCACTGCCGTCAAATGGGCTTCCCGTAAACAGGCAAACGGACCGGAAAAGGCCTCACCAGCCTTAGATCCTCCCATCTTCAAGCACTTTGAAGTGATTTGAGCTTCTTGATCCCCCTCTTTAACTGCTTCTTTACCACTTCCTCATTTTGAGGAAGCGTCCTCTTTTATAATAAAGATGGTGTGCTAAGGCAGAAGTCTGACTTGCATGAAGAAAAGACAGTCCCCACAACCAATCCCTATTTACAATTATTAAATGTGTATGTAGTCTTGATATAAAATAATATTTTGCAAGGTGTTTCAATCTGCTGGCAAGCATATGAAATATTAAATCTATACAAAAGGTATATAGACAGGAAAAAAGAGGGGGATAAAAGAAATTGAAACAAAGTGATTCATGGCCACATGCCCAGAAACCTACAGCCTTACCCACTTGGAAATCATAAACATGGGGAAGCCAAGGGTCGACGGGCTGAAGGATGGCCTTCTTGGGTAACTGAGGAGGCAGCTCCATGGTGCAGAAAGGGATGTGAGAAGCAGCAGGACTCGAGCTCATCAGACTTTGAGTCCGTGGAACTCCCCAGCCTCCCTCTGCTTCTGGTGCAGCCATGCGCCCCAGCAATGTGAGTGGGTGCATAAATCAGACAAAACAAAAACAAGCCCAGCCTAAACTACCAGGACAGCATGAGGCTTTCAACCGGTATTAGGATGCTAGAAGTCGACCATCAGGAGAGGCCCAAGCAGCATCTGATCACGTTGCCGTCTTGCCATCTCTGCTGAGTTTGTGGACCTCAGCTTCCATCATCCTCAGCCAGGATGTCCGGGGCTGCAGGCCAACACGTCCGCAGCATGCCAACACGAGGAGGCGGTGCGCTTTAGGGATCCTGTCAGGCCCCTTACGCCATTTACACACAGACAGTCTCACGCAATCCCTCCACGCAGCCAGTGCTGGGGCAGCGGCGAAGCGCAGGACCCAGCGAGGGGCCTCGCTGGCCCGGGAGCAGGGCCTTTGCCGGGTGCAGCACCCGAGCTTCTCTGGGGCCACGAGTTCATATCCCTCCTTGCCCTGTGCTAACGGTGCCCCCTTGTCTCGCCAGCTGCCTCCCAGAGCTGCCAGTGCCACCGGTTTCTGGACAGACGCCTGTACAAGACCAGGCCTCACGAGGTCAAGTGCCAGCTGCACAACCCAGACGCGCGCACCCTCTTCCACCGCAACTGCACGTGCCGGTGAGCGCTGCGGCAGCTCTCCTGGCTCCTGCAGCCCGGCAGAGGGCCTGAATGAAGGGAAGGATTGCTGGGAGGGGTGAGGAGAAGTGGCACGTGAGGGATTCTTAAGGGGAAGGGTGGTCCCTAGCAGACCCCCACCACTGGCCAGGGCTCCTGGGCTGGACCCCACTCACTGCTGGCAATCCCATCCAGGGCGCCTCCACCAGCAGGAGCAGCTGGCCTAACCCTGTAGGAGGCGGGCATGGTAGAGAAGCGGGTGTTCCGACCTACGACTCCCATAATCCCTGGGCATCAGCTTGGCTGCCAGGCGCTTATGAAAGATGGAGTCTCAAACGACTGGAGGGCAGCGGTTTGCCCAGCTGAGTGGCTGAGCACCTGCTTTGCACAAGGTAGACCAGGGGGAACCAGATCAGGCAACCAGCGAGGGGGAAGCGGCTGAGCTGCTTCCGTCTGAGTAGCCAGGCCGGGCTCGATGGAGTCCTGGGCTCGCTCTGCAGAAAGCGGCTTAGACACAGAGCAAGCCTGGAGTCAGTTCATGGGTCGGCCTGCTTCTGCACCGGTCAGGTTTGCACGCCATGACAAGCCACCCTGCAAATAAGCTGTGAAGGGTGGGCTCTTTGTGAAGCGACTCACGGTGTGTAGAGAGAGGGTATGCTGCCCCCCTCCCCCCCCGCAGGTGCGCCAGGTGACTTTGTGGCAGAGCCCGCCTTGCCTGCCCACTCACTGCAGTCACGAGCACTTTTCTGTTCGCGGCACCTCTCCCCCATTCCCCCTGCCTTTCCTCCAGAGACTCCTCTGTGATCTCCAGCCTTGACAGCTGGGAAGAACGCCCCTGGTGCAGCCTCCTCTTCCCCTCGAGACGTGTGCACAAACCCCTTTGCACTGTCGCTGCCATTACTCCCATTGGGCGTGCACCGGCGTGGGTGTGCCAGGTGTGCGGTGGCAAGCTTCACCCGGCCGGCGTGCTGGAGGGCTCTGCTATCGCCGTGCAGCGCCCGCCATAGGGACCGGCCCGGAGGGGCTGCAGGGGGGTTTGTTTTCCACTTTGCTTTCCCTTGGAGGCTGTCAAAAGGCGAGCTGTCAAGAGAAACCGAAGCTGCGAGTGACCGTTCTCCTGAAAGGGGGTGGCACGTCCTCTAGGGGATTTTTTAGTGGGAACCTGACTGTTCCCAAGTTTCTTGCACTTTTTTTAACCCTTCCCTAGACTCCAGGTGGAAAAGTGTAAGCCAGCTGATATACAGAGATTTGACGGCTAGCTGGTTCTTTTTAAAAAGATTTTTTTAAAAAAGGGGTTACACAAGTGGTCGCTGTTGCCATTGGACAGAGAGAGATGTGGGAAGTGGTCTGGGTCTGCATCACACCCCAGTCCGTTGTGGCTCGTCAGCCACAATGCACTGTCACGGGCTGCAAAGCCAGCTGCTCCCCAGGCCGGTCTTCGCAGACTTGTTGCCTTCC